TTTCCATACAGTGACTCAGTATATTCTTTCCATCTTCTTTTAATACTTCCTGGATCATTTATGCGTTAAAACAGTACCTATATTGTTCTTATTATGTCTGTGATACCCATAGTTGGTATTCAGGCTTTCTGAGAGCTATTTAAAAGCAAACTCAGAGAAGCAATGTGAAATATTGTATATTTTCAAACAAAATAGCTGCATCCTTGCATACTACAGCTACCAGGCTATTTGGATTTAAGCATTTGATAAATGAAAATGTTGAACATTTCTTTTACACAAGACACTAAGGGTGCCATGAACAGAGAGGGCTTGGCAACTTGTGTGCTGTGTGCTAATATCCTGTACCGTATGAATGCTGTGAGCATAGAGCTCAAGACGCAATGTCTGACACAGAATACCCAGCTCTGGTGACCTAGTAGATAAAGAGTTGTTCTGCCAACCCAAAGACAGGTAGTTCAAATCCACCAGCTGTTCAGCAGGAGAAAGATGGGCAACCTTGTCTTGTGTGATTTATAGCCTCTGGAAGGTCAGCTATGAGTCAGCTCTGACATGATAACCATGAAAAAGAGTGAGAAAAGGAGAAATGGTCAGTATTATTCCTATTGCAAAAATTAGTGCTTACAGCCTTTGGTTGTACAGAGGTGGGAGGGAGAAGTGCTCTCTGGGCTCAATTTAGATCTTCACGTACTTTCTTTTCTCCCCTCTCTCTCCAGGGACAACCTGATCATCAGACTTTTATTGTAAGTATGCTTTGAAAAACTAAATCCCTGTCCCAACCCAAGCTTCTCATGGAAATGTCGCTATTGAATAAGATTGTGTACTGAATCAGACTTAGTTCTAGTGTGAGTAGGAGTTGTGATGGTACCAGGAGAGTTTTTGATCATTTAGAAATAAATCTGTGCACCTCTCTCTCTCTCTCTCTTTCTTTCTTTCCCTCCCTCCCTCCCTCCCTCCCTTTTCTCTCCCTCCCTCTTCTCTCTCCTCCCTCTCTCTCTCTTTAAAAAAATAAGCCACTTTCATCCTCTGATGTGTTGTTTCCTCACACTTGACATGGTAAGTGTAAGAGGAACATTTTTTTGAAGGTTGAAATAATTTAAGCTCTGCCCCTAGACAATGTACATCAGATTGCAAAGGAAAGAAAAGACTAGAAAACTAGGGCAACATCAATGATGGGTTGTACCTTCTCCCTTATTTTTTTTCTTCATTGTCCCTCTCTTATTCCTGCTTATACATTCAGACCTTTGCAGTTAAACATGACTGGTTCACCTAAAAGCTTGGAGGGTTTGTCTTTTTTTCATTGAATGCCTCTGATAGAGGACAGGGTTAACTTAGGGCTGATTTGATTTAAATTATCAGTAAACAAACTTCCTTAGTCAATAGTGTGGAATAATTATACATTATTTTCTCACTTGCCTGTGTAGATGCCTGTGATCTGACTAGCATTTCACGCTCATTATTATGCCTTGCTTAGAAGAACCACTTGCAGTTTTCTTTCTGGAAAACAAATTCTAAAAAAGATTATAAAATGTGAGCAATTTGATAACTTCTTCTAAAAGTTAGAAATAAAAATAGAAATAGATGTCCAAGCTGGGAGTTGGCTTGCCACATTTTTTGATCATGTACATGAACAGTTAAAAATATTTGAACATGCTCCAGTGTATGTATATTTCTATGTTATCAATTATACATGCACTGCTATCTAATTCATTATGTACATTATTAAGCAGGATGGAATTTTTGAGGAGATAAAATGGAAATAGGCAGTTTTGATATTTTCTTCCAGCATCTCAGTATCATGTCTTCCCTATCCCGGGATACCCTTTGGAGTCTGCTGGGCTGGTTGACCCAGAACAATGATTCAGCCAACCTGAACCCTACCCTATCCTGACACACTGGAGTCCGTTGCTGAAGTCATTGTGTCAATCCATCTCATTGAGAGGGGGATATTCCTTTCCTTCACTTCACCCCCCTCCTTTCCAAGTATGGTGTTCTTTTCTATGAATCTTTGCCTGGCTACATGTCCAAAGTATGAAAGATGAAGCTTTATCATCCTTGCCTCCAAGGAGCACTCTGGCTGCACTTTTTCCATGACATACAAGCCGTGGGTCACACTTAAGGTTGGGGGAAAAAACTTACTTAGGAATCAAGCTGGAATATAGTTCTAGGCTACACCCCATCATCTAATTTTTACACCCAGTGTAAAGGTGATTTGAAGTAAGACCAAGGAAATTCCCTGAATTTCTCTTTCCAAGACTATAAGTGAAAGGGTGCATTAGCAATAATTCCTGACTGCAGGTACCACTGTCCCTGAGTAACAGTTAATTGTGTTCATACAGAATCTATATCTAGAACAAGAAGCTGTTATCTGAATGTAGCAAGGGAGCAATGCACAGTTTAAAATCAGGAAGTGTATCATTGTTCTACCATTTCTCCATACCTATTTAATTTTTATGTTGAGCAAAATAATTCACAAAACTTTGTGAAGAAGAATGTGCCATCAGGTTTGGAGGAAGACTCATCAACAACCTGCACTGTGAAGATGACACAACTTAGCTGACTGCAAGTGATGAGAATATTAAGTGCTCGCTGCAGAAGATCAGGGAACCTTCAGTATGGGTTACATCTCAACATCTAGAAAGCAGAGGTCTTCACTATAGGACCAACAGTCAACATTATGGTAGGTGGAGAAAGGATTGAAGCTGTCAGTTAGTTCATCTTTCTTGGATCAACAATCAACATCCTTGATACAAGCAATCAGGAAATCAGAAGACTTATTACACTGGTCAAGTCCGCTATCAGAGACTCCTCCAAAATGCTGAAGAGCAATACCAGTTTAAAGATTAAGGTGCACCTGATTCAGGCCATGATATTCTCAATCGCCCTGCTACACATCAGAGAACTGGATAGTGAATAAGGATGATAGAATAAGAATTAATGCCTTTGAGTTAGGGTGCTGGAGAAGAGTATTTAATATCCCATGTACTGGCAAATAACAAGCAAGTATGTAATGGGAAAAGTGCAGGCTGAGTGATCCTTGGGGGAAAAGATGGTAAAGCTTCATATTTCATACTTTAGACATGTAGCCATGCAAGGATTCATAGAAAAGGCCATCATGCTTGAAAAGATGGGGGTGGTAAAGATAGGGGAAGTAAAGGAGATGAAGACACACCCCCCCAATGAGCTAGATTGACATGATGACTTCAGCAATGGGCTCTAGTGTGTCAGAGATGATGAGGATGGCACAGGATAGGGTAGGGTTCAGGCAGACTGTTCATATGGTCGTTATGAGTCCTACTCAACTCAACAACACCCACCAAGACCTTTCTGTGCATCCACATCAGCAATGTCGATACTCCTGGAAGTCATAGAACAGGCCCACACAAAGAAGCTTCGTCCACTCCCAAAATTAATGGTTTCTCAGCACCTGCTATGTGTAACCACTCACAAACTAGAAAATCCAACTCCTCTCCCTCGATTCCACCTCTACAGTCTTCCAGTGGGCCATTGGAGAGATGTTTGGAAGATAGCACTTTTTCATTTCACTAGGGTTGCCCACCTGATGGTTCTGAACTTCAGTCAAGATAATCAAGCTTTAACTTGAGGGATGAGCTATAAAGTTGTATCCAAGTTTATGAGTTACTAATGGAGATGGAAAGATTTAGCTGGTGCTGAAAGCACTTGGCAGCTGACCAAAATGTTGGCAGTTCAAAACTACTGGTCACTCCATGGGAGAAAAATGTGTCAGTCTAAATCTGTAAAGGTTTACAGCCTTGGAAATCCTAGGAGACATTTCTTTGTCCTAAAGGGTGGCTGTGAGTGGGAATTATGTCTTCTTAGATCTAATTTTGAAAAGCCAGCCATGGCACCTAGTCCTACTGTGACGCAGATGGACTGACCATAAGTCAGAGTTGACTACAACAACTGGATTTGTTGTTTTGGTTAGTACAAGAAGAGGATGAGTACTGAAAGACAGTGAGTCAGTGACCTTGATAGATTGTAATTGGACAGAACGAGATTTGTCCTGTGACCATCTGATAGACTAGGTGCTAGGCTGAGAATCAGGCATGACATGTCTCAGAGTCAGGCAATTGGAAGCACATTAAGTCGATACATTTTATGAGGGAAACCAGACCCCAAGTGCTGCCTCCACGGGCTGTTATGTCACCTCGCAGGCTCTAGTTTCATCTTCTATAAAATGAAGATAATAGATCTGACCTCATAGGCCTTCTGTGAGGCTTAAATGAGACACCTTATAAATTCCAAAATGCTATTTAGGTGCAAACTGTCATGATCGCATCAGTCATAAAGTGGAAGTTGTTGTCTTTGGTCATCTTTCAGAGAGCATTCAGAGAACAGTTCACTTACTTTAAAGCTGAAGGCTGATTTAGATTTTCTCTTATGTAAGTGTCAAGGCACAGAGCACATGACACCTGCCAGGTCCACCAAGAAGACAAAAGTGCTTTTTTAAAAAAAAATTTTTCTTTTATATTGGTTTGCTCACAAAGTTCATATACATTGTGTTTCATACAATGATTCCCATGCATTATGTTTTATAAAATCAATCACCAGCGACTTTGCCCATCATTACCCTGTCTTTTCAGGTCCACGCTGGATCCTTCCCATTTCCTTCGCCCCCTCACTCTACCTAGTGCAACCCTCTGGTTTCTCCCCTACCCATTCTTACCCCTTTGTTCCCACGTCTTCCCCTCTAGAGTTCCCATACATGTTTTACTACTTATCCTTCTATTTTTACAATAATGGTCTTATGCAGTATTTGTCCTTAGGAGACTGAGTTAGTTGGTTTGGCAGTACCATCTCAGACAAGGCTCTTTTAACAAACGTTTACAGAATACTCCTGGGCCTCCAGAAGAAAATGACTGATAACCCAATTACAAGATGGGCAAAAGACATGGAAAGGCTTTTTACAGAGAAAGGCATTCAGATGGCCCACAGACTCATGAAGAAATGCTTAATATCACTGGCAAAAAGAGAGATGCAAATCAAAACAAAAGCTTTTTGAAAGAGATTTTACATGTCAGAAAGGACTGAGCAAGCACAAAACAGGCTTCTTTTACAGCAGACCTCCCAACTTTGCTCCCTAAATAGGTAGAGAAGACTGGTAAATTCACTTTGACTTCTATTACAAGGGGGAGAGGGGGGAATCTTTCTCAGTCTGACCATTTCTCACAATCTTTATAGGAAAAAAGTTCAAGAATGATAGACATTTTGATTGGTTTTCCAACTTCCTCAAGAAAATACCCCAAAACATTGTTTGGTTTTCAACCTTAAAAATAATATGTTTAACATCTTACGTACTTTGATAAAAGCTAACATCACAGTTATAAGTGAATAAAGGACAGAAACCCAAGAATGTGTCAACGTGTGTAGAATTCACCTACATGGTCTGCATGGGTTATTACAGGTTTCAATGAATAAGAAATTCCATATGGGAAGAGGGATGTCAGAACAAAATGTGACTACTGATTCACCACCTAACCCCACCCCCTTCTCATGGACTCCACCACTCTGTTCCCTAGATCCTCACTCTCTTCTGCAAACCCACCAAACTCTGAGCACAGGAACAAACATAGACCAGAAACAGAGAAATGGTTTCTAGAAGGATATCCCTCTACCTCCTAGGATACACCTGGGTTATTTTTGGCACTAAATTCCCCATTTAGCACTTACTGCAGAAAACCAAAGACTACAGCCTTCAAGAGAAGCTGTGCTGCAATCCTGA